TCCCTTGGCCCTTACCTCTTTTCTTTTTCTACCTTTCTTTCTGCCAAATACATATTTAATATTTGTAGTTCTTCCCCCCATTAATCTCTTTTATTCTCTTCTTGTTATCCATGTTTAGACTTCTTTCCTTCACATGGTCTGGCTTTTATGACATACATACATATACATATCCTGTTAACTAACAATTATAGAATAAAAGTATTTCAAGTAAGGCAAGTATGTAAATAATAATGGAAAGCTTAGATTGAAACAAATAATGATAGGATTCATTAGTGCAGTTGATTTAATTCTATATTAAATAAAAGAAAATTCATGATTTCATATGGGTCTTTAATAAAAAATACATATATAGCTGAGTGGTGGTGGTGCATAACTTTGAACCCAGCACTTGTGAGGTAGAGGCAGGTGGATCTCTGAGAGTTCAAGGCCAGCCTGATCTACAGAGCAAGTTCTAGGGCAGCCAAAGCTACACAGAGAAACCCTGTCTCGACAAACAAAACAAAACAAAAAATCAGATATATAATGTATATTTACTTATATTTAATCTGGATTATGCATAGAAGAAAAACATAATATTTGTCAGAGTCTAGCTAACTTTACTTACCATGTCCAATAATTTTCCTGCAATGGACAAAATTTCACTCTTGTGTATGAATGGATGGATCTCTTTGTTGTGTATAAATACTATATTTTCATTAACCATTTATCTGTTGATGGGCACCATGACAAGTTATGTACCTTGGCTAATGTGACTACTGCTCTAAAAAACAGTGTTATATAAATTTCTTTGGGGTATATTTGCTTTGTGACTATAACAAAGATGTGGCATATTAAGTAATAGTTCAAGATTGGATCATCACTCATTTTCATATATTTCAACTTTATACACTAAACTTGGGACTTCAACACTTCCATGATATACTAATAAAGAGAATTTTCCAGTGATATAACTGTAGATGGTAAGGTTGAATCTTTACCTCTTATCAGGAACAGGATTACTTAAGCTTAACTGTAATAGATCTAATTGTCTACCACATTGATAGCAAATGCTAAGCTTGGCCTTTAATGTCCTTTGCTTTTGAGAGATGAACCTTTTCTCTATATCTCCATAGCCACTTCTGGTTCAAGCCTCAATCCTACAACTGACATCTACAACTAATTGAGATATCCATGGTTGTTTTTCTTCCTGTCTAGAGATATCCATGTTGAGTCACTCATTTCTCTCTATTTAATATAAATTAAATGCCCTATTATCACTTGTCATTATTTGGTATCATTCTAAGCTTTCTAGTATTATATACTCTTGCCTTTCCTGAATACTTTTATTCTATAATTTTCATTATTTTTTTATATATAATGGTATTTTTATTAATTTTAAAATACATGTATTAATGTTGACAGTTAACATATAAAGTAATTTGTTTCATTTTGGCATTTTCTTGTCTATCATTATATATTATTCTATTTTATCTCCCTTCCCCACAGCCCTCCTCTTTGCCCCTGATTCCCATGTTTGATTCTCTGCCATCCCTAGAAAGTAATACTCCTTCTGCTTCCTGTATCTATTCCCCCTATCTCTTAAGATCTCAACATCCATATTATGATCCCCTTCTTAACTTAATGATCTGCACACACATACATACACACACACACACACACACACACACACACACACACACACATATATATATATATATATATATATATATATATATATATATATACACACACACACACACACACATACATATACTTTTAAATCTAGATTCCACATATGCCAGAAAACATGGAATATTTTTCATTTAGAATCTTTCTTATTTCACCTAGTATGATTTTCAGTCCATCCATTTTCCTGAAGATGTCATGATCTCATTTTTATTTATAGCTTAGTTAGTGAGAGTCCATTGTTTACATGTATTTTAAAGCGTAGTTAAAACCTGTTATCTATAGGTAAGTTTAATCCCAGTTCCCTCAAGAAGATATACTGTACCTTCTTACATCTTTTATCACCTAAAACATTTTGGTCTTGGGATTAAAATTTGTCCATACACACCTTATCTTCCTTGTTAAATTGTACTCTCCTTGGAGTTAGGAACTAGTCATTTCAAACATGTTTAGCAGTTATGTATGTTACATATATAATGGAAAGAGTCAATGTAAAACAAAGATTTATGTACCAGCTCCACCAAAGAAAATATGGCAGTTTATTTTAGTTTTACTTGTTCCCAGTTTCCTAAATCAGAATGTACAAAGTACTATTTATTGTATACATTTGTGTTAAGGTCTAAGAGTTTAACACAAAAGATCCCCATTATATTAATCTTCCTTCTTCTTCCTTTTAGAATATGTAGCATAAAGCTAAGCATAATTAGTATTAGTAAAGCTAAATCATGTTGAAATATACAAAGGGAATGAGATAAAATATTGTTATGTGGAATTCAAAGGAAGACATAGATGGGAAAATAACATAAATCAGAATTGTTAGGAATCAGAATAGTTAAGATTTTGAACTTGGATATATTATGACATTTAATAAACAAAATTAGAACAAATCTCATTTAAGGAAATAAGTTAAAACAGAAAGTCTTAGCAGTACTGTTTTAAAGGAAAAAATATGGTGGAGTAAACATAGATTAAGGAAAAGTGACAACTCCCAAGAGTGGGAAAAGCTCCCAGATGGGGAATGACTGTTTCTTCTTCAAGAAATTTCCCTTCAGTAATGTTACTTTGCCACTAAAGGATTGCCTGCCCAAAAATTTGTGACAGGCCACATGATGTGATCCTCAAAGAGGCTCAGTGCTAGTATCCCTGTGCAGGCTTTTCTGCTTAGGTCAGCTAATGAGCATGCCAAGTTCTCAGGATTGTCTTGAAGTCTGAATCCAGTAGACTTACTGGTCGGTTATTTGGGAATGGACCTAGAACCTGGGTCCACAATGATAGTCCTGTTTCTTGAACTTGCACTGACAAACCTAAAGTCTGGGGATTTCCGTTCCTGGGAACTGAATAAGTATAAGGGCTTAGTCTAGGTCATGGAGCTCCAGGGACCAGCCTGGGTACTGTTGATACAAAAGTGATGCTGGTAGGTCTGTTGGAAGATGCCCAGCACTAAGAACTAGTGGGACACACCTGAACACTAATCTTCTAGAGCATGACCACATGTTCTAGCATGGATGGTGACCCTGTAAGTATTAGCCTAGAGGTATAAGGTCCTAGTTGGGACTGTGGCAAACTAAAGTTTCTGTCTACAAGTACAAGCCTGTAGGTTGTATTCACAATAGCTGGCTTAGAGGTTGGGGGTCTATATAAGGTGGCTTGATGGACCAGGACTTAGAGGAATCAGCATGATTTTTAGGGTAGCTGAAACCCAAGGCTGTTGGTGTCAATCTGGTGCTAGGGAAGCTGGCTAAACATTAGAATAGCCTGGAAACTAAAATTATTGTACATCCCTAGAACTTGAGATGCCAGGTTCCAGACAATTTCCAGAGCTGGCTTGGAGATCCAATTTGGAGACAGCTGCCTAAAGTCTGGAGCTCTGAGGAGCCTGCTAGGTGATAGCTTTTAACAACATGTGTACACTATTATAGTTCAAAGTAAAACACGATTTTCATTACCTGCTTCTTCACTTACACATGAAAATATATTTCTTCATTCTGTGCCATCTAGGATTTGAGAAGGAATGATACAGGTTAAACAAGAGTTTCCATATTATGCTATATAATATACTTTATTCCTGAAATTCACCAAGGTACTGTAATCTACAGGCTGATTTCATCAGTTCCTGCAAAGGCATTTTATGAGTGGATAACTATTTGAATTGAGGTCTTACCATTATGTTGATATCTATCCTTACCATATAGAGAAAGTTCTACATGCTTTTACAAAACAAAAGTTATAGTGAGTAAAATGTTAAGTATTCATCTCTTGTCTGCCCCACTTTCAAGAGCTAAATATGTTTAAATTTAATCATTATTTTATACCATTATTATATTTATATAATTTACAATTTTATAATATAAATATTATATAAATTTATATCATTCTGTAACTTTCTGTATCTATATCATTCTGTAACTATTATATGATATAAATTTATATCATTCTGTAACTTTCTATGTGTATATGTATGTGTATCATATTAACATTGTTAGAAATTGGGTATATTGTATTTTAAGAAAACTTTTATTTATTTACTATATTTACTATATTACCCATGAAGGTATGTGTTATACAAACTTACTCATTTAACCAAATAATAAGCAAAAGTTTGATGATTTTGATTAATAACCTATAGATAAACTAATAAACATTGGCAGCAGAATACAGTGACGCTATTAAGGACATTAGATATAAGTTTGGAACTAAAGTGTAGATATAAAACTATTTGGTATGTGCTATTTATTACAGACAGAGGCACAACAGCATAAATTTTTTGATTGTAGTAGATGAATATGACTTTATATATTTGGAGGGAAACTTATGTGAGATCTGAGTGTACAAATAAGTGACCTAGTATTTTTGGAACAGTAGGAGAGATTTGACCATCATAGACAATTCCCAAATGATTTTTGGGCTGAATCTATGTGACAGTCTTACATAGATACCTTAGGATTTTTTTTTTATATTTCTTAGGATTGTCTTCTGTTAAACAAAACATCAAGGGTTTTTTTTTAATTCAGTCTTTCATTACTGATACCTTAAATCATTTTTTGAAGTTCATCAAATTACTTGTATTCACTTAACTAATCCTTTAGAACTTTATTGTCTAGAATTAACCATTCTGAATTGGTAATTATTGTCATATTATACATTGTGTGTGTGTGTGTGTGTGTGTGTGTGTGTGTGAGAGAGAGAGAGAGAGAGAGAGAGAGAGAGAGAGAGAGAGAGCTATGTGAACATTGAATGGTGTATTTGAGGAAAAGGATAATACTACATACCCCCAAACATAAAAATTTGGTTAATTCAAGTTTCATTGATATGATAGATGTTTTCTTTATTGATAGATCCCACCCGTGACGGACAAGAACAATCTGCGTATTTTACAAATAATTTTTGTAAACCATGTGGAGTGGTTCTACAGCATGAATCAGAAAGGATTTCACATTTTGAGGTTGGTTGAATACAGTGGGAATAAGGATGAGGAATCACATTTTTAAGCCTAGCCGTCAACTTCATTTAAGTCATCTTACTTGATTAGTATAAGAACCTGAAACAAAGTATCATTTCTATGTGACAGATGAGAATATTGGCTCAGAAAAGGATAGTCACAAACAATTGTAAATTTAGGGAATCTAGATTAAATTCAATGATTTTTTTAAAAAATTTTTATTGGATGTTTTATTTACATTTCATGTTGTCCCCTTACCCCATCCCCCACCCACCCAGGAACCCCCTATCCCCTCACCCCTCCTCCTTCTTCTCTGTGGATGTAACCCCTACCTACCCCCCAACTCCCACCTCCCCACCCTCAAAATTCCCACCCCCTGGGGCGTCCAGCCTTCATGAGGTCAAGGATCTCTTCTTCCACCTATGCCCAGCAGGGCCCTCCACTCTTACCTATTCAGCTGAAGCCCTGGATCCCTCCCTAAGTGCTCCCAGGCTGGTGGTTTAGACCCTGGGAGCTGTGGTTGGTTGGTATTGTTGCTCTCCTCATGGTGCCGCAAATCCTTTCAGCTCCAATGGTCTTCACTCTGACTCCTCCATTGGGAACCCCATTATCAGTTCAATGGCTAAACTCAATGATTTTTTACTGCAAAGATTCTTTTCTTCACACCATTCTGCCTCCCTTTGTATTTGCTGTTACTATAGTAAATATAATGTATTAGCAAGTTTGAGAGATACTATAGAACTCCTAGAGTCTTCCTTTATAATAAATGTAGACTATAAATTTGGCTGCCCTGTCATTGAGGTAAGAGAGGCTTATGAGCCCCCCTCGCCACAGATCTATTGACAAACAGTTGCTAGGGGCAGGAGATCATGAGGCCTTATCAATTCCTGTGGATCTATTAGCAATTAATGATTGCTGGGGAAGAGAGATATCTCTGCAGTGATGTATTCCTTCATAAGGTACTCACAATCCCATAAATATCTCTTCTCCATCTTTCTGTAAGCAATCCTAATGATAACCATTGTGTCACATATAAAAGGACATGAGAATAGAAGAGGTAGTGAATTGGAGAAAAGGGAATTAGCAGGCACTGGAGAAAAAAGAGACAATAGTAATATAATTAAAATATACATGTATGAAAATGTCATAATGAAACCCATTAATTTATAACTAGTATGATAATGAAAACATAAAAATACTGTCTTTAAATTTCTAGAACGATTTCTATTTTAATTTTAATTGAGAGTTGGAGATTTAAAGGGAGTGAAACTCTTTCATAGTTCTTGCAGTGAAAGGTAGAGGCTATAGCTCAACAATATGTCATTTGCCTAGCCTGTTGAAGTCCCAAGTCTCAAAAGAAAAAGTTAATGCAGAGTGCTAAAACTCATTTCCTGCTCTCACGTTCAGAGAGGTCTACATTTTAGGTGTCTCTTTTGTTAAATAAACAAAGCCATATCTTTTTTCAGAGTGAAATACATGCTCAAAATGTTAAGTTCTTTTTTCAAATGCATGGAGAACAAAATGAAGTGCCTGGTAGGAAAGTGAGCGTGGATGTTGGAAATTCTCAGGTGAGTCGTCTATGCTGCATATCATGATTCTAAACTGTATATTTTTGAATCTTTCAAAAGTATAAAAAAATGTGCTTTTTATAGGTGTGCACGAGTGGAGAAGTCAACAGAAACCCGTTTACTGGTCTCTGCAACATGAGTTTTGACTCCGCAGCTGCTGCTCCATCTCACTGTGTGGAAACGAGCCATTCTCAAACTCAGACGCAATTACTGGAAGAGCATAGTCAAGTATCTCCATCCACATGCCCACCAAAGATGGGTAAGATTCTATTCATCTCTTTATCTCAGATATCTAATATATCTTTTTCCTACACTGCACCATCCTTTTAGAGAGCAAACTTTTACTGCATGTTAGATAACTTGATTGTTCTTCTGCTTTGTGTCTTTCTGCATCCTTGTCTGCAGAAATAATGGCTGACTGAATTTTAAGAAATACTATGACCACTATTCAGTTTACTCATTCCAAATATGTGATTTCTACATGTTGTGAATAATAATAAGCAGCTAGAGAAATCAAAAACCTTAGATTTTTATTATATTTTCCCCCTTGTCATAATTTTTAATGTACTATAATCTAAAACTTTGCCTCACTTGTCTATTCAGATCAATGTCTTTCCTATAATAGTTATATATTATAATCCCTATAGTGTATAGTGTTTATCACCACAGCTTTAAGAAACAAGCTAAATTTCAGAATCCCTTCCAATCCTGATAATACATTGTTTTATTTCCCTAAATATGAAGTGCCGGTGAATAATTAGAGTATGCTAAATCCCCAAAGTGCAGAGAATTATAGAATATTGCCTCTTTTTCCTTCTAGTGATGTTCGAATGAACAATTACCTGAACTGACAGAGTACATTTTGGAAAGCATAGATCATATTTTGAAAAACTTGCATGCTACCACAGAAATGATCGATCAGATGAAATAATTTAGCACATTCACAAGAACCTTAACACTATGTTATTAGGCATTCATTTCTGAAAAAAAAGTCAGCATTCATGTCATATATCATATAGGTATGACATATGTCATATAGCATATAAATATTGTCCAGAGCAAAGTGTTTACATCTGCAGACTATTAGAATTTATTTTTTCTTAATAAGCTAAACTGTTATTAGTTTTTAAATTTATTCTAGTCTCTAAAATTTCCATGTATCTATTGGTTTGAAAAGGGACAGAGTCATTGTGCCTTACAAGAGAAACCATTGTAAATGACTCATCTGCATTTCCCAAATTCATTTTATTGGCTTCGGGGAGGAGAATAATTGAAAAAGACAGAAAATAAATATATGGTTTCAAGTTATTAATTGCTGAGAGTTCATTCTGGTATAAACATCACAAATTAAGACATTACAGATATGTTATTCAAGAAAAATATCAACTTAGAAGTTCCTGCCATCTGATTTACCCTGGGAGTTGCAAAAAATCATCTTGAAATGGCTCCCGTGCTTCTATTGTTTCCTTAAATGAATATGCTCAAATGATACTAGGTGTAAAATATTCCATCAGTCCCATGTCTTTAGTGAACAAACTAGGTCACATTTATCCTCAAAAGAGCCTTTATAACAAGTTCCTTTATCCGCAATCCCTGTCATTAAAAAACTAGAAAGATAGTTATTTTTAGAGAATTTCTTTAATTATGTACAGTGGATACAGTTGCAATACATGAGCACATATAATTTTTCATTACAATTGTTTCTACAGATGATAAACCCAGTACTGCTCCTGCCCCGCCAACCTTCCTGAAGTCTGTTATTGTGAAGCCTCCTCCAGGTAGGAGTAAAGACAGACTATCCCTTTCTCCTCTAGCATCCCTTTGGATCGAAATAATCCAAGCAAATACTGTAAGCTCTTTCCTCCTTCTTTAAATGATCTGCTAATGTTCCATAACATTATAGTATGGACAAAAAAAAATGATTCTAGAAAGACATTTATAGCTGAAGAGCAGAGAAAAGTCTTTCAGCAAAATGAAATACAAATGGCAAACAGGAAAAGTATTCTAACCTCTTTCATAGGAAGTTTGTATTTTATAAAACATACTAGTTTATTTATAAACCACTTTCTTTTATTTTAAAAAAACTGATAGTGTTCAAATATTCAAGTCCTATACTTTGATTTGTTTTTTATAGGAAATGATAGCCAGAAAGTCTTTTATGTCTCTTAATTTCAAAAATCACATATGAGTATGTATGTGTGGTGTGGTTCCATGTTATTTTAAGGAAGTACTTCAGATCACTATGATATACTAATATTCATTTGGAGTATTAAGCTAGTCATTATTGGTAGTATAAATAGGAATATACTTCTTATTTCTTCTTCCCTAAAGAATAAAATATGTAAACTAATTAATAATACCTCATTGCAAAAGACTACAGGTATGTTTATGCACATATTTTGCTAACAAAGGAAATGAAACATCATAGTTCATAGATTTCTGTGATCTTGATTGATAGAAGTGGAAAGACTTAAAAAAAATGACCAGATGGCTTAAAGATAAGAAAGGGTAGCAAAACTTCAGGTACAGCATAGAGATTGGCCTCGACTGAAGCAGTATATCTGCTCTTCTGTCATGCTTTTCGTCCGTATACAAGCACCTTCTCACTACTGCTGTGTCTTACTGCTCTGTCATCTTCTCTCTTCTACTTTCATTTCCTGTCTTGTTGTATTTCACCTATTCTTTCTAGGTAGGCTTTCTGCTCTATGTGAAAATGTTCATTACTCTTAACTTCTTAAAATTCTATTCTTTTCGTGCACAATTCCTCATTGTCTTGTTCTTTCTTTCTATTTATTTGCTTTCTAATAAAGCTATTCGTTCATTGCCTAGATTTAGGTGTTCCCAGGTTCCATTATTTACCTGACTCTACAAACTCAATTCTGTGTATTCCCCTGCTTTTATCTGTCATCTATATTCCCATAACCTTTCCATCAAACTTTAGATTACATGTCAAGATAGTAGATCTTATTTCACTTGGACACCTCAGAGCCTTTATAAATCAATACTCTTCCAACATAAAAACCTATAGTTAACTGTCAACTCCCCAATACCACATTATTCTCAGTTTCTAAAGCTAATGAAATGTCAAGCTGTGACTGTCTTCCCTCCTGAATTGTTACTGTCTACTTAACTCTGTCCCTACTCTGCCTACACTACTATAGGTCTTCACATATTCCTAGAGCTTTTGTGACTGTGAGGTATGGACTGGCAATGTTGATATCTTTTGAGAGCATATTGGCAAAAAGAATTCAGCCCTGCTTAAAAACTACTAATTCCAAATTCACTTCTTTAGTAAGACATGTAAATGCTTCATACTTAAGAAATTTGAAGACACAGAGTCATAGCCTTCTAAATATTTTTCTTCCCACTGGATTTGTCTCCACAAAAGCACTCTCAGTTTAATTATTGGTGTGTTTCATTCAAAATACAAATATTTCTATGACAGTATCTTAACTTGGATATTTGTCACTGTTTTTCCTGCTTCTGACTAAACTCATACTCATTCTTAAACAGACCAGTGCTGCCCGGAAGCATCTCTGCTTCCATGTAAGCTACTTACTTAATCTCCTGTGTCTCTGTAACCTGTGTGTCTACTTACCTCTCTACGTGCTTTTTCTCCCATTTCAGTTTAAGGTTCTTAAGGAAGGAAACGTCATTTCTGTTTCTAGTGCTAGACATAAAAAACAGCCTAGAATTGTTCCTCTCTCAGCAGAGTTTAGTTTAATGTCTGTATCAATCAACTGCGAATGAATCTTTATCTCAAATGCTTTTCCTTTGTTTGTACTATTTCAGTTTCCTACATACTGTGGTTCAAAGTACTAAAAAGTTTTGTAGAGACATATAGTTTCACATAGGATTTTAAAGACTGATGATTTAAGGGAACACAGCATTAAGTAGAAATGGCAGTTGATTTTAAAAGTAAACATCTGAGGAAATGTTGGATTGCCACTTGTTGGATAGTTTTCCTCCTGGTAAGCTGAGAGTATCTGAAATATGTGGTGTCTTAGTAAATTTGAACTGAGTCTAAATGAGAAGTGTTTGGGCTGTGTTTGCTGCTGTGGGAGATAGCATTTAGCCCTCTGAAATGTCAAGGTTATTAGAATGAGGGAAGAAGCATGTCTTAGTTGGCTCTCTGTGATAAATACCATGCCCAAAAGCAATACTGGGAGAAAAGCTTACCATTTAGAGTCAACCATGAAGGGGATTCAGGACAGGAACCCAGAGGCAATAACTGAAGGTGATACTGTGAAGGAACATTGATTACTGGCTTGTTTGCCATGGTTGGCTCAGTCTGCTATCTTATAGCAAATAGGACCACTTGTCCAGGGGTGAAACTTTCCATAATGGGCTGGGCCCTTCCAAATCATGGAAGTGTCCCATAGGCTTGCCCACAGTCAAATCTGATCAATTTCCTCAGTTGAGGTTCCCTTATGCCAGATGAACCTAGCTTTTGCCAAGTTGACAAAAATCTTACCAACAAAAGGAATTTTGGTGTTCTTATCTGATCATGAGATCAACAGTATAATTTAGTCTACTTATTGGAAGAAGGCATTTTACACTAATCTCTGAAGCTAATGCTCTAAGAATAGATATGCCCTGTTGTAACTCCTGTCTCCCAAGCAGTAAACATTTGAGTATTATGAAAACAGCTAGTTCAGCTAGACATAGTGATTCATGTCTATAACATCAGCACTCAGGAGTGAGAGGAAGAAAGATTACTATATACTATATGTTTGAGGCTAGCCTGGACTAAATTATGAGTTCCACACCAAATAAGGGTATATAGCAAAACCTTTTCTCAAACAAGAACAACCAAAAGAAAACCATCTAGAGAAATTAAATTAATGCAAAATTCAGAGAGCAATAACAACAATTCCATGTTACAAGTAAGCCAGTGTTTTTGTTGTTATGGTTTTGGTTTTAAGGCAATTACGTAGCTATAGAGATAGCTCAGCAGGCAAGAGCCATGGCTGCTTTTACAGAGGATCTGAGTTCAATTTTCACCATCTACATTGTAGCCCATGACCATCTATAACTCCATTTCCAAGGGAACTCAACACCACCTTTCTGGCCCCCCATGGGATGGGCACTGCATATACATTGTACACAGACATACATGCAGGCAAAGCATCCATTACATAAAATGTTAAAATGAGGACAACTTAACACAATATGCCACTTTAATTATTCCACTGTTTTCATTTTCTCCTGTCTATTATTGTGTCTATTCATCTGTTATCTGTGAATGTCTCTCCATATTTGAACTTTTTTCTTCATTATTATCACTGGTTGCCTAAATTCTTAATCTAGCTCAGCTAAGGCACAAGATTGGCTACATTACTACTAGGGACCTAAAGTATATGTGTATTTTTTTAAATATTGTGTTTGTTTAGCTATCTTACTAACTCTAGCTCCAATATTGCACTTAGATGCTTCTGTTTTACTTGTAACTCAACATATCTAAAATTAAAGCAAGACTCTTTAAGTCCAACTTAAATTGTAAAACCTTTGTCTTCGCTAGGATTACTGTTATTTATTAGGCACCTATAGTTGAATCTTTAACCGCATAATTCTCTATATGTTTTCTATAAGCAAGTATCATGGAATCAGTTTCTCTTTTCTGTACTTCCATTACATTTCTATTACCGTCTCTTCACATGTTAACAATTTTGGAAACAGCAGTTTATGGCTGTCTTATGTTTTTTAAACACCTTTGTATATGGTAATTAAAAATTAAATTTATTTATTTATTTATTTATTTATTTATTTATATTCCATATTTTATTCCTCTCCGGTCCATCATTTGACTGTTCCACATCCCATAGCTCTTTCCCATCTCCCTGTCTCCACAAGGATGTCCCCATCCCCCACCACCCACCCCACCAGACCTCTAAACTCCCTGGGGGCCTCCAGTCTCTTGAGGGTTAGGTCCATCTTCTCTGACTGAACCCAGACCCTGCAGTCCTCTGCTCTATATGTATTGTGGGGCCTCATAGCAGCTGGTGTATGCTGCCTGGTTGGTGGTCCAGGTCTGAGAGATCTTGCGGATCCAGTTTACTTGAGACTGCTGGTCCTCCTACAGGGTCACCCTCCTCCTCAGTTTCTTCTAGCTTTTCCCTAATTCAACCACAATGGTCAGCAGCTTCTGTCCATTGATTGGGTGCAAATATCTACATCTGACTATTTCAGCTGCTTGTTGGGTCTTTCAGAGGGCAGTCAGGATAAGTTCCTTTTTGTGAGCACTCCATAGACTCAGTAATAGTGTCAGGCCTTGGGGCCTCCCCTGGACCTGGATCCCACTTTGGGCCTGTTGCTGGACCTTTTCCTCAAGCTTTTCTCCATTTCTGTCCCTGTGGTTCTTTCAGACAGGAACAATTATTGGTCAGCATTTTGACTGTGGGATGGCAACCCCATCCCTCACTCGATGCCCTGTCTTTCTACTGGAGGTGGACTCGATACATTCCCTCTCCCCACTGTAGGGCATTTCATCTAAGGTCCCTCCCTTTTAATCCTGAGAGTCTCTCACCTCCCAGGTCTCTGGTACATTCTGGAGGGTCCCCCTACCTCCTACCTCCTGAGGTTCCATTCTTTCTGCTGGCCCTCAGGGCTTCAGTCCTATTCCCTCACCCAATACCAGATCAGGTTCCCCTCTTCCTCCAACCTTGTACATTTTCCCTCCCAGATACCTTCCTCCCCACTTGTGGTTGCTTTCTTCTCCCTCCCAAGTGGAACTGAGGCATCCTCACTTGGGCCCTTCAGCTTGTTGACCTTTTTGAGTTCTGTGGTTTTTATCCTAGGTATTCTATAGTTTTTTGGCTAATATCCACTTATTATAGTGAGTACATACCATGCATGTCCTTTTCGATCTGAGTTACTTCACTCAGGATGATATTTTCTAGTTCTGTCCATTTGCCTGAAAAACTCAGGATGTCCTTGTTCTTAAAAGCTGAATAGTATTCCATTGTGTAAATGAACCACATTTTCTGTATCCATTCTTCTGTTGTGGGACATCTGGGTTGTTTCCAGCTTCTGGCTATCACAAACAAGGCCACTCTGAACATAGTGGAACATGTACCTCTGTGGCATGGTGGGGCATCTTTTGGGTATATTCCCAAGAGTGGTATAGCTGTGTCTTAAGGTAGATCTATTTCCAATTTTCTGAGGAACCTCCAGATTGATTTCAAGAGTGGTTGTACCAGTTTGCAATCCCACCAGCAATGGAGGAGTGTTCTTCTTTCTCTACATTCTTGTCAACATGTATTGTCACATGAGGTTTTGATTTTAGCTATTCTGATTGCTGTAAGGTAGAATCTCAGGGTCCTTTTGATTTGCATTTCTCAAATAAGGTTTTTTTTTAAAAGATGCAAACAAAACAAATAGGCTCAAGAAGCAGTCTCCAAGATAGGGAGTATGTAAGAAACATTAGAGACAGTTTATAAGATTAGGCCAGGGGTTGTATAAAATAGCTCATCAGGCAAAGATGCTTGTTGCTAAGCCTAACAACTTAGTTCCATTTCTGGAACCCACATGGTTTAAGTAGAGAACTAACTCCCCAAAATTGCCCTTTAACCTCCATGTGTATACCATGATACATGCATGCACACATGCATAATATATGTGCACACACAAAATATATTTTATGATTATTTAAAAATATTAGGCCAAGAAGCATGATAACTGGGCCAGTTAATAGGCTTCCTATCTATTCAGAAAGAGTTTATGCATTTTTACTTATTCTCTTTGAGTTACACATTATTCCAGAAAGTGGTAGTATCAGCATGTGGAAATCCAAGCACTAAGGTAAAAGTACCCAGACTGTAGTTGTGGAACTGTCTCTAGACACTTGACATGTGAGTAGCAACCCTTGTAAACCCCTATATTTCTACTATTTGGAATCTTAATACTGGTGGAATTTGTGGAGAAACAAAAGAAGAAGAGCTAAACAGAAAACTATGAAGTAGCCTTTCTAAATACTGAAGAAATACCCAAGTTTAATGAGACTTTATAATCACAAAGAAGACTAAATAATCTAGGTAGAACTTCAATAGTGAATGCACAGTAAAATTATCTAGAAAGCTTTCATGGAAGTAGGAGAGTTCTTTTCCACCCCTGGAAACTCAGATTTAATTGGTCTCATGTGAAGAGGTCTGATATAATTTTCCTAGAAAAACCACAGGCTAAGGCAACATGAACATTTTCCATGTAACTCTTTGTATAACCAGCTTTGAAAAACACAAATCTAAAGAAAACTGGAAGTCTTGTTTATTCTACATCACTTGGTGTACCCAGTATATATGCTGTTGATCAAGGTCATCTCCAGTTTGGTTTTCATATCTGTAAGATAAAGATAGCAGTAATTTCCTAGAAAAGGTTGCTATGAAGACCCACATTTACTGCCTAAGTAGTCCATTTTATAGAAAATCAATAGACTTCACTGTTAATCATTGTTAAACCAGAGACTCACAAACCAAACCAAAAACTTGAAAGAGGAAGATATATAGACAAAGAATTGGAAAATTTTTCTCTTCAACAACATCTCTTATAATTCATTTGCAGTATTAGTTTTAAAAACTAATTCCCAAATTCATTCCAGAAACTGAACTTAGCCTCCAGGAAAGGGAGATAGAGGATGGTTTTTTAAGTAATCTTTCATTCAAACGTTTCAAAGACAAAAAACAATGTTAAAGCTGTGGGTATACATAGGACTATCATATACTGTTTGATACAGGTGTACTTTGTATAATATCTAAGACAAGCCAAACACATTTATATCCTAAGACATTTTGATTTTTGTAATGAATTTTTTCAAAATCATTTTCCTAGCTTTTTGAAATATATGAATATAAGTGTTATCTATTATTAGTATACGGTGAACTAATACCCCAAATCTTCTTGACCCTATCAGGATTTTAGTATTTTTTATGACAGAGTAATATTCCACTGTATGTACCATGTTTTATCCATTCATCAATTGATGAGTACTTGAGTTGTTTCATTTCTTGCATATTGTGAATAATGATGTAATAAACATGGGAATGCGCATGTCTCTTACTTAATGATTTTGATTGCTTTGAATATACACTAATATTATGTTTACAAGAATATATGGTAATTCTTAATTTTTAAGTAGCCTTCATATTTTGAATGACTATTCTAATTAATGTTTCTACCAACATTTTCTTCACATCCTCACCAGCATTTCCTATCCTTAGGGTTTTTGTACTAGCCATACTTCTTGGGGTGTGATGAAATCTCCTTGTTCTTTCAGTTTGTATTTACCTGATGATTAGTGATGTTCTGTATTTTTATGTACTTGTTGGACATTTGGATATCTCCTTTTGAGAAATGACTAGAAGATTTTTTGTTATTGAGCTTTTGGGGTTCCTTATATATTCTGGATATTAATTGCTTGTGTATGTGTACATATGTATGTGTTTATATATACATGTATATATATGTATACATATGTACATATATATGTATATACCTGTGTATATACTTATATGTGGATATATACACATGTATGAATGTATATTTTGTAGATTATTTTCACCCATTTATAGATTGCCTGTTAACTCTATTGTATGTTTTCTTTGTTGTTCAGGAGTTTTAACACTTTTTAGAATCTGATTTGTCTATATTCAAATTTGCTTCCTGAATTTTGGGAGACTTGTCCAAAAAGTCCTCACATATTACAGAGTACTGAAACATTTTACCTGTATTTTCTTCTAGTAATTTTCTTTGTTGTTGTTGTTTTTTAGATTGTATTGTAATTATAACATATCCCTTTCCACTTTCCTCTTTCTAAGTCCTCCTATATACTCCTCCTCACCTTGAAATTTATGACCTCTTTTTTTAAAATTGTTATCATCTGCATATATGTATTTGCCTTTATGCCAATGTTAAAATTTAAGGCTTTAGTCCATTTTGAGTTGATCAATTTAACAGGTAAGGCAGAAGTCCACCTACATTTTTATGTAGATAATCAAGTTCCTTAGCACTATATATACAAAAGACTGTTTGCTGTCTAAAAGATATTCTGAGTACTGTTATCAAAGCATTCATTCAAATTTTAATGTAACCTGTTGATCACTGGCATAAATAGTGAACATGTTATTCAATGTCATTACTATTATTTTACCCTGTAAGTATTCTTTTGTTTCTGGAAATAATTATCATTCAGCAAATTTCAATATACCTAATTATTATTAACTAATCTTCCTATAAGTGATTAATCTGCTGCTTGATTTACAAGAAAGTGATTCTGGTTGTTCTTAAAATATGTATGATACCAATTTATTGCCTTGTGTCTGGAAGAGTGCTGATTTTGTACTTGTCTTGTGAAAGTTGTTCTTTCCTCCTCCTCCTCCTCCTCTTCCTCCTCCTCCTCCTCCTCCTCTTCTTCCTCCTCTTCCTCTTCCTCTTCTTCTTCTTCCTCCTCTTCCTCCTTCTTACCAAGAAAGAAAATGGAAGGATTATGAGCTTTAGACATGTTTATCTCCTGCTTCTAATTCCACTGTAGAAGTAGAATAGTTAGGTGGCTATTATACAGCTTATTAAAAAGTATTTTTTTATAGTTTTTAATTTAACTCATTTTAAATAGCAACTATTATTTTAGATTTTTACTTTCACCTTTTAACCTATGTGTAGGCCTCACTGGTTGGTTCTCTTTTCTAAAATTTGTGGAAATTGTTTTTATAACTAGTGAACTACAATGATTACAGTTTGAGAAAGTAAAATTTTGCAATTTTTAACTTAAACTTATTGAACCTTTCAATGTTTGGTCGGGTAGAAAAATAACTAACAGCAAATAAAAAGAGTGTTGCAAAACTAGGAATAAGTTTGTTTGCCATGTTATATTTGAGGTTACTGCTATACAGTACATATAGCAGCAGTGAGCAAGTAGATAGCAGATGGTTAAGAAATTAATAAAGACTATACATATAGTGTATTGTATAAAAATTCTGAGCATTAAATTTAGAGACTTGGGTTCCAAGATGCCAACTCTGCTATTTGCTCCCATGACTGCCAGCAAATTACTTTGTCTTTTGGGACCAGTTGTTATTGGGAAAGTTCAAGTAGAAGGTTTTTAATAAATTCTTATCTATCACTGACATTATTGGATTCTAAGCATTTCTCTACTGATCTTTTCAAATTCTCTCATTTTATAGCATATAGAATGAGAACCTATGTATGCCATATCTGCAGTATCACCTTTACATCTTTGTATATGTTCCGGTCCCACATGCAAGGAACTGAACATCAAATTAAGTAAGTGTTTTTCTCCTGTAAAAGAAAATCATTCTCATGTTACCAAAGACCAAGTCTTCCAGTAAAATACTCTTTAATATATTTTAAAACATTCTAGATAGTCTTTTTCCTATGACCTGAACCTAGAAGTGGTAAGTGGTATTTGTACCATACTAGTGACAAGGATATTTTATCACAGTAATGAACTGACAGATCTGTCTGGTAAATTAGTAGTCCTTCTGAATAGACAACATTATTTTTTCTTTGTAGATGTGCTAAAAGATCATTTCTTCAGACTAGCCATGTAAATTCAAAGGATCTCAAAATGGTTGTCTTAATTCCAAGGATTCCATGATCTAGTCATTGTCCTTACAATGGAGTATAATGGTTAAGGACAGAGGGCATGAGCCATTTTTAGTCAATGTTAATATATGGTTTTAAGAAGAACAGAAATTAGTGGACAATTGGAAAGTAATTTTTGTAGCAGGGGAAAGGGTCATTTATATTTTGTATAAATTAGTTGTTGATTTTGAAATCAAAACATAAAATCTATTATTTTATCCTATAAGAAAGTATTTATAGTGTTTGGATATGATTATTTAGAAGCTGTCTCAGATACTTTTCTATTGTTATGACAAAATACCATTAAGCATTTAATTGGGCTTAACAGTTTCAGAGGGATAAGAATCCATGATGATGAAACAAAAGTCTAGTGACAGCTGAGAGTTCATGATCTGCAAGTAGGAGACAGAGAGAGATAATACTGGGAATGGTCAGAGTCTTTTTGAAACCTTAAATTCTTCATGCAAGGATACAGCTCCCTCCAACAAGGCCATGCCTCCCATACCTTTTCAAATAATTCTACCAACTGGGGACCAACTATTCAAACATGAACCTATTGAAGCCATTTTATTCAGTCTACCACAGGAGCTAAATTGTCAGACTCAGCAAATGAAAATACACTTTATACATTAGAAAGAAAACTTTGGGATTTTAAATAAATAACCTATCACATTGGTATATCTACAAAAGTAACTGATTTTGAAAAAATGCCATTCAGCCAGTTTATTAGGGCAATGTTATTTATGTTGATTAGCCACAATATGCCAACATGCATTAACATTTGTAGTATTACAGTAGCATGAGACATTTCCACTCTTATGACCATCCTCCATTTTATCCTAGGCCTGTTTTTTCATTACCATGTATTTCTTAGATAAAATAATTAGTTCCATGGAAATACTTTCATGCATTATAAAACACACTGGATCATATTGATTCTCCCATTATCCTAATATCTTCCCTAATTGCTCCCGTTTTGCTGCTATGAGAGTTTTAAAGATGTCTCGATCTCACATATAAAAGAAAACAGTCAATGCTTACTTTTCTGGGTCTGGAGTATTTAACTTAATATCATAATCTCTAGTATTTTTTCAGCAAACAATATGATTTTTAATTTTCTTCATGACAGTGTTTCTTTGCACATCACAGCACATTCTTTATCTGCTGATGGTCACCTAAACTATTGTTATAACATCATTATTGTAAATGGTATTGCATCAAGTAATTGCTATGTAAGCAGCATCTCTTCTTGTAGGCCACCTAGGATTCTTTTGGATATATGTTTAGGAGTAATATAATTATATCATATGGTAGTTATATATTTAGTTTTTGAGAAAATTGCACATAGATTTCTATAGTGGCTATAGTAATTTAAATTCCCACAAAACATATATTTATTTTTCTATGCATTCTCATCAAAATTTGTTATCTTGTGTTTTCTTCTTTTGTTAATTATTTTTGTTCTTTAACAATTTTGTGTATGTATGCTATGTATTTTATTTTTACTCTCCCTGCCTCTCTTGTCTCCCTCCAATTTTCCAAGCCCCCTTTCCTTTTTTTGGGGGGGGATATTCTATTTACATTTCATATGTTATCCCCTTACCCCATCCCCCATCCACCCGGGAACCCCCCATTCCCTTACCCCTCCTACTTCTTCTCTGTGGATGTAACCCATACCTAGCCCCCACACTCCCACCTCCCCACCCTCAAAATTCCCACCCCCTGGGGCATCCAGCCTTCATGAGGTCAAGGTTTTCTTCTTCCACCTATGCCCAGCAGGGCCCTCCACTCTTACATATTCAACTGAAGCACTGGATCCTTCCCTAAGTGCTCCCAGGCTGGTGGTTAGGACCCTGGGAGCTGTGGTTGGTTGGTATTGTTGCTCTCCTCATGGTGTCGTAAATCCTTTCAGCTCTCCTTCAGTGTTCACTCTAACTCCTCCATTGAGAACCCCATGATCAGTTCAATGGCTAGTTGTGAGCATCTGCCTCTGAATATGTCAGACTCTTGAAGGCCTCTGAGGAGACATCCATATCAGGCCCTTATCAGCATGTACTTCCTGACTTCCACATCAGCATCTACCTCCAAGCCCCCTTTCCTATAAGTCTCTTTCTCCTATTTACTAGCTTTTCATTCTGTTTAGTGTTCCACAGAGTTTAATTAGGGATGTCTATGTGATCTTGAGTTTGGAACTAACCATCAGAAGAACTTTGTGACATCACCATTGGGTACACATCTGGATATTATACTTACTCCGTCCCAAGGATCTGTTGGTTAACAATGGATCAACAGTATGTAGTAGGACCTTATGAATCCTTTTCCTCTTCATATCTGACTGGTAGGAGGGTCCAACATCTGTAAACCCAGTGACAGTATACATAGATCCTGTAAGTTCATAGTTATCATATGTATATTGTATTTAAAAGATGAATTTTTCAGCCCCTTCTCCCATTCACTAGCACTTATTAATTCTTTCTGATCCACCTTCTACAGTATTTCTTGAATCTTAAGTGAGTAGCATACATGTCTAATCTAGGGCTGAGCCTTTATTCTCAGCATATAGTGCAGCCATGAGTCTCTGCATTTATTTGCAATGGAGAAGCTTTTCTGTTTAAGGCAAAAAATAGCCTTTGTAGATATAAATATAGATATTTAGATGATAGTTTGATGCTATGTCAATTCAGCTCAAACATCTTATAGTACTTTCCCAGAGTCCAAGACCTCTTCTATCATGGGTTTTGGAGCAGGTTTACAACAGTATGCATGGATTCCCTCTTACAAAGCAGGCCCAAATCCATTTAGGGAGCAACTTTGCTCTTCTAATGCTTCCCTGGCCATACAATTTCGGAAACACTATTGAAAATAGTATGTATTCTGCAGCTCTTGAATCAAATACTGTATGCTTAGTCCATTTGATTTATGGTGTTGTTTACCTCTAAAGTTCCTTTGTTTATCTTTATAATCTGGACAATGCATATATTCTATGAATCAGTGGGGTAGTTGGGATTAGGAGATATTAAAATGCATGGGTTTATTCATCCAGAAAAAAAACCTGGACAACAGGAAAACTTTTAAAATGTTTCCTCATTTCGTCAGCAGTGAATTAATCTGAGGAATACGGGAGACTTCTTTGGGGTCAGCTTAATAGTATAGATCATAGGTCTCTATCTTTGACTGTACTTTTTGCAAGGTGCTGGTTTCTGCTGGTTTCACTAAGCATTTTCCTTCTGCTAAGAACCCCATTGGGGGCATCTTTTTATCCCTCATTTAATGCTGTGCATTCGGTATTACAGATATCTATTTAAATCTTGTATACTCCTAACACTCTGTGTTCCCTTATTTCACTCTATTCTTGTCTCCTATTGCACTCTGGTATCTTTCCATAGCATTCGCTCTCCCTGCAGCTCTGCACCTGTGATTTTATTTCAATTTTGTGGACAAATTGGTGTCTCTACTCTGCTATCTTCTAAGAAATATTTTTGTGTAAAACTTGTGGCATTCTACAGAGATATCTGACTATCTGTACTATGTATTTTGAGCATCAAATTCTTTTTTTAATTTAGAGGATTTAAATTTTTTTCAATCTCTATAGATTTTATTTAAACTAATATTTTAGAGCAAAGAAAATACTCAGTAATCAAAAATTTGTATTATTCTTTGTAGAGGATCTCATGTTATCATTTTCTTTGTAGAGAATCTCATGTTATCAATCAAGTGAAGAATTCAAAGAAAATGCAAGAGTCTTACCAAGCTGAATGTGGAGATTACAACCAAATGAAGAAATCTCGAGAGCTAGAGCCCAGGGCTCATTTCAGGAAAATGGAGGAGGATAATTACATGGAAACACATGGATACAGAGAAATGGTTGATTCTACACCCAGACATCAAATGCTTGAACAAAACCTTCCACTTGAAAATTTCTGGGCACCCCCAGGACCATACAGTGATTCTAGAACAGTAGAGGAGCAGTTACCTCATAGTTTACCAGCAGAGTCAAAGACATATGACTCTTTCCAAGATGAACTTGAAGATTACATCAAAGGGCAGAAGGCCAGAGGACTCGATCCCAATATTAGTTTTAGACCGATGTCAGAAAGCTATAGCCACAGGGATCACAGGTACACAGAAGGGGTTGATCCTGGACACAGACAGAGGCCATGTGAGGAAAGGTTTTCATTTGAGGCACCACAGACCTACCAGCAAGAATACAATGGCTCCCCAGTGGAGGACCAATCTCCTTACTGGTTAGCACCTCATTCAAAGAGTAGAAATGATGATTTCCAAAATGAATCTGATGATTACAAGGTGCAGGAATCTAGAGAATTCGAGCCAAAGACTTCCTTTACAAGAATTGATAGTTCTTTTGAAACCCATAATTACAGAGAAATGGTTGATGGAAGTTCCAGTCATGGAATGTTTGAGGAAAGACTCCCATGTGAGACTTTCCCGACTTACCCAGCTCCATACAGCAGTGCAGAAGCAGTAGAAAGCCAGTTACCTCATTGTTTACCAGCTTATGAGAACCAACCGAGCCTAGATACTGACAGCTACTATCAGCTTACCACAGAAGAGTTCTCAGACATGCCTGTTTCCCTGAGCCTTAGTCAACAAGAACATGACCCTAGTTCATACAGTGTAGACTATGACATCTACAAACATCTGCCCTCAAATGACAGTGCCAGTGCCCATGAAACAGGTCATAAAAGGCGACATCAGAAGAGAAGACGACACCTGGAAGAAGGAAAAGAAAGGCCAGAAAAGGAACAGTCCAAGCATAAGAGAAAAAGAAGCTATCAGGATAAAGATTTAGACAAAGACAAGAACACCGAGCAAAGTAAAGGAGACGAAGATAAAGCTGGAGTCAGCTCTGAAAAAATCAAGCATCGAAGAAAGAAAAGAAAGCATGAAGCTTCCTCAGAGAAAGAAGAACGTAAGCACAAAAGAAAGAGAAAGAAATCTGTTGAAGAAAGAACAGAAGAGGAAATCCTTTGGGATGAGTCAATTCTTGGGTTCTGAACCTATAGTATACTAAGAAGGGCTAAGCAAAAACAATATTGGTTTAGATAAAGACAGGAGTAAGTGTGAAATCAAGGAAAGGTAGGTACAGAATCAGCACAGAAAACCTTTGGGTTTCTTTGTTTTCGAAAGTTGAAATTGAACACGAGAAACAATATACAAGACATCTAAATCCAACATTTAAGGAACTGTTTTGAGGTAAACATACTCAAAGAATTTGAACTTTTAATTTTACTTAAGAAAACCAGTGGGGGAAAAATCTGATGAAATTGGTGGAGAAATTTTAGATAAAATCGAGTACTTCAGATGAAGAGAAGGGTTAAAGTCAGTGTCCATTCAAGAAAAGAGTCTCCCTCTGTGTATGTGTGTATTATATATGTGTGCCTGTATATATGTGTGTATGTATATATGTGTGTGATCGTGTGTATGCGTCCTGTGCTCTGCTCTGCTCTCCTCTCCTCTCCTACTTCCCCTACTCCTCTTTTTCTGCCACTCCCTCCTTTCAAAATGTTGAAAGAAGAACCACAAAGTCTAAACCTAGCCTTCAAACAGCAAGAACACAATACTAAGAAGCATGAGCGGAGAAGAAACCTGCTTAAGAGAAAGCAGAAGATTCAGTGTTTTCTAGTTTGCAGTTTTATTACCTTAAGGTTGAAGAAAGGTTGAAAATTTTGGTTTCCTGAAGTTTGTGTTCTTTGTGTATTTGTACATGTGTACAGTTAATCTCTAACAAAGCCAGATGAAGTAAAATTATTCATTATGCTTTTCTAATGTCACTTTCTTTGACTTTCTAAGAAAGAAACTTACTCTACTGCTTATGTATAATACAGTTTTCTTAAAGTAGAGGTGTTTCTACTTTGTCCATCAAGTTGTAATGAAAATAAGTTGTTTGCTCATAGAAGTTATGTACTTAAAATGGTGAATTACAACATGGTCTACAGCCATACCACCCTGAATTTTCCCAATCTTGTTTGATTTTGGAAGAATGGTCAACCTTGTAGGAGACCAAACTTCACAGAATCCATTCCTTTTAAGAATTTGTGTTAGTATTGGTGGTATTTTACTACTGTCATGTGTTAACGTTCTGTTTTCTTCAATGGAAATGTATGAAACAACGTAGACTTTTTTGTTAAATCTAATTTGCAGTGTATTTTTGTATTTTCTAGTTTTGAAAGTGGAAAATTAGTGTATAATAAATTAGATGATATATACTTTTAAAATGTTCTTCAAAAGGGCTGATAGAAATCGGTCTATATTCTGAAAAATGTTTATATTAAAGTGTTTTAATTTCTAAATACTGCTTTGTGATCATTTCCATCAAAAGATGGTTGTTATGCTGCCCACAGGAGGACAAGAAATGGTGTTGGCCACTAGTTCTCTAGGAAGACCACACATTAAAGCTGTAATTTCACTTATTCCACAGATTGCTTAGTAGAAGTTAGCATTCAGTTTTAGCTTAACTTTGGGTTAGAAAAATACCATCAATGTGAAACTGAAGGGAAAATGTAAGCAGTGTTTGATTTTAAATTTTTTAAAATTGTTTTTTAATTTTTTTAAATTGTTTGATTTTAAATTTTTTATGCTAGTGCACTATTTTATGATCAGTACTTTCTGTAAGCATTTGAGTATTACTCTGCTACATTAGGGAGTGTAAAGGCCTAATATATCAAATCCCATGATTAGAATTTTAGTTGCACCATCAAGTTATGCTATGTTTTTGCCAGGATACACCAGAATTGAATATGTAGTTCAGGGACAAAAAGTGGAAATTTCCAGGAATCTACCAGGGTGACCCTAGCGAAGACTCCTAGTAATGGGGGATGGATATGTAACCTGATCCAGCCTTCTCCTGTAACCAGGCAAGACTGCAACAAACACTAACCCAGTCACAAAACCTTCAGCCTACAATCTGTCCACATGGTCAACTAATGACTGGTCCAACTCGAGGCCCATGTCACAAGAGGGAGCCCATTCCTGACACTGCCTAGATGGCCAGGAACCAGAGGTAGGGCAGCCCAGAAACCCAGAATAGAACCAAACATGATTGGCAAAAAAGTCAGTGAAATGATTACTAATGATATTCTGCTATACTCATAGATCAGTGCCTAACCCAATTGTCATCAGAGTCATGATCCAGCAACTGATGGGAACAGATGCAGAGACCCACAGCTGAGCAAGTGCTAGTTGGAGCCAAGGGAACCCTGCATGACAGGGGAGGGAAAGATTGCAGGAGCCACAGGCTTGCAAACACCAGGAGAACATGGCCCACAAAATCAACTAAGCAGGGCTCATAGGGGATCTAAGAGACAGAAGCAGCAATCTTGACCCTGTATGAGTCTGAGATAGATCCTCTGCATACATGTTAATGGATATGAAGCTGGGTGTTTTTGTGGGACTCCTAACAGTGGGAGCGAGGACTGTCTCTGATTCTTTTGCCTGCTTTTGGGACCCTGTGCTCCCACTGGGTTGCCTTATCCAGCCTTGATATAAAAGTTTGTGCCTAGTCTTATTGTAGATTGTTATGCAATGTCCAGTTCATATTCCTAGGAGGCCTGCTTCTTTTTGTTAAGGGAAACAGGACGAGATGATCTAGGGAAGAGGGGAAGTGGACAGGGGAGGACTAGAAAGAAGGACAAAAAAGAGGTTAAAAATTTGAGAAAGAACTATTATTCATTAAGGTACAGAACTACTGTGAACTTTTCAAAATATATAGATTCATCTTGCATTAAAATTAGTCACAGTTTTAACTATATGGCTAAAACAGCAAAATTTTACAGTTTAAATTCATTTTAATCTTACGTTATTCTGAGTGGAGACAAGGAAAAGGTTGCAGTGTTGATTCGTTTCAAGAAAGTCACTCACTGGTTGCTGGTTTTAGAAGAAATTTTCTGAGATTTTAGGACATGCATGTTTTTCAATCCCCAAAATGTTACATTATCCAGAAAACTTAAGTTTCTGGTTGAAGCCAGTGACAAGGACCTGGAGTTTAACTTTGACACATTTGCTTTGTTCCTATTACCTGCTTCTGATCACAAGATTATATTCAAGGTAACACAATTAAATATATATAGGATCCAAAAAATATTTCAACTTCATCAGCTAAGTCCTAAATCTATTAAGATAGAATTTAATAGAATAAATAAATCTTGAACTTGGGTATGGAAAGCCAAGAAAAATGCAGTAAAGGAGACAAAGTAGGTAGTGTCTGGTGTGAATAGCCAGCAATACAATTCATTAGGCAAGCAGTGGAGAGGGGTGAGGAAAATAGCAATCACATGGTATCTGCTGACTTTATAAACCTCACAGATGCATTGGGAAAATGGAAGGCTGAAATAATTACCAATTTAAGACACATTATGGAAGGCTGAAGACTTTCTTGATAGCATATATAAGGAGCTTTCACCTTCATTCCTAATCTCATTTCTCAGAACACAGTGCAACAAGCTCAAAACTTCACAGTTAAATTTAAACTTCAAATTTCTATGATGACTGTGTTTCCATGTAATATATGAGATGAAACTAACACTGAAAAATAATTCATTGTTTGTCTAAATCCCAAATTTAACTGGGTATGTCTTGTATTTTGTATTATTTACTTACCGCAAATTTGTGTTAAGTTGTCTTGAACTTTTAATCTCACAGAAACAAGTGAAAAGGTTCATTTTACCTGGTAGCTTCTGAAATTTTGGTCTATAGTTTTTAGTTATTTTAATTCTGATCATGTGGTGAGTTATAATATCATGACAGGACCCTGAAGAGGAGGAGACTGTTGACTTCTTGATGGACAAATAAATAAATAAAATGGGAAGGGACCAGGGACAAACTAATCCACCAAGAACTCACTTCCAGTGGTCTACTTCCTTCAGCTAGTCTCCACCTCCAAAATATCTAAACCTCCTCAAATAACACTGACAGGATTTAACGTAAGAGGATATGGGAGATATTTTATAATCAAACTATAATGCAACACACTTTCTTCTAAATAAGTTTATCATCTTGATTGATAGCAAGCCCTTTCTGCTAGAATTTATTCTTACTCATGCTGGTAACCAGGCCAATAACTGTGATCAAATGACAATCTAGCTCAGTCTTTGAAGTGTTACTCAGATGATGCAGAAAAAAGAGGGACTATATACAGTCTAAGGCAGTGATTCTCAACCTGTGGGGCACAACACCTTTAGAAAACCTTGATTTCCAAAAATTTTTACAATCTGATTCATAACTGTAACAAAATTGCAGTTATGAAGTAACAACAAAATAATTTTATGATTGTGGGGTCACCACAACATGAGGAACTGTGTTAAAGGGTCTCAGCAGTAGGAAGGTTGAAAACCACTGCTCTAAGGGAAGTAAAGGACTAAGAAGAGATTTGGTAGTACTTAAATCTAAGGTTAGATAATCTGTGACAAGATGATAAAGTGTCTAGAAGCTTCTCAGGTGAGCTGCACAGAGAAGGGATAATCAGGAATAGGGAGTATACATACATCCAAAGAGGGACATCTCATGTGATACATTTATAACAATGGATATGAGAATGGAGGGTATGATCAGGTGCAATCAGACCTGAAAGATAGTGATGAGTAAAAGAGGGCTATAGTATTATAAGTCAGATCTTAACTATGGTTTGAGTGACTTTTATCCCCTATAAACTTAAAATTAATCTGCAAGATGATAGTGTTGGGAGATGAAAACCTAATAGAATATGTTTAGACCATGAGAGGCCTGTCCTCACAAATATTTTTAATCCCAGTATTAAAATGAGGCTTGTGAAAGTGACATCACTTTTGGCACATTTGCCATGTGAAGGAGAGTGTTCATCTTCTTGGAAGATACAGCATTCAATACATCATCTTGCAGATGGAGTTTTAACAAATGCTAAACATGCCAGCACCTTACCAGTCCTCATAAATAGCAAATGTACCATTCAGTACATATGACCAGTCTAAGGTATTCTTCTATAAAAACAAAATGAACTATATGGCAGGGTAATTGAGTATTTCTAAGCGGAAAATTTAAGCAAATGCATTTAGCAGGTTGTGTTTATATCTTATCTTATATATCTATTTGTGTTTCTTATACAGAAATCACTTTGCCTATAATTATACTGATATACTGAGAGTAAAGGGATGGAATAAAGTATTCCAGTAAACTGGAAGCCAAAAGATATCAAACATACCATACATTTTCATAAATTGAGCTTAAAAGTATAAAAGCAAACAACCAAAGGCATGAAATGGTAACAAGGACTTTTTTCTTTTAGGTTCTATAGTACCTCAAATTATACCTAGGGCCTCATTCATGCCCAAAAGGTAGTCTACCACATCATCCCCATAATGATGTGATGGATCAATTCAGCAAAAGTAAATATATATATATAGATAGATAGATAGATAGATAGATAGATAGATAGATAGATATAGATATAGATATAGATATAGATATTCATTAAAATTAAAACATTACAAGTCCTTAAGTAGGAGATAAAGTATAATTGAATATTAGTTGATTTATTAATCCACCAAACAGATCAAAGTTAAATTGAATCTTACACTAAATTGACATTCGTAAAATATACTGAATACACATTCTTGTCTACTGTACATGAAATATTTTCCAGGAATTTTATATAGTACCATTTTGTTATGATGAATATGGATATTCAATTAAAAAGCAAATTATGTAAATGGTACCTTACAAAACCTATGGCATGCAACAAAACCAAGAATTTTAAAGGAAGGAAAGGGAAGGGGAAAATGTATAATTATATTATAAACTCAAAAAATAAATGAAATGAAAGAAATTATAGTAATTTTTAAGAAAAAAATCATTGCTAAACATCAAGAAACTGGGGAAAGAATATCAAGCCAAAATTAAACTATAAATACCAGATCAAATATAAAATAATCTAAATAATAAAAATACCTGCAAAGTTGAAAGATAAATAGACTTTATAGATCTAAACTCAGAACGATATAGCTCATTCCAGTACTATTTGCTTGTTTTCTGTTTCCTGACACATGCTGCTTTGTGTTGTCTTGAACAGTTTTGTTCCATTACATACTCTTGGCCATGATGTTCAGCTTTAGCTTATGCCTCAAAGCAATAAGCCATCTCTCCAGCCTCAACTACCAGAAACCTTAAACAGAGAAATTAGATAAGAGAAGTAAAGGGCTTCCAAATTGGAAAAAAAAAGTAAGTCAAATTATCTCTGTTTACAGAAATCCTGGTCTTCTATGAAGAAACTTCCAAAGTCTCTTACAACTGAAAAAAATTTGGTGAAGTTTCAGGATACAAC